TCATGTGCTTATTCTCCATTTGTATATCTTAGGAGAAATACCTATTCAGATATTTTGGCCATTTTAAAATTGGGTTGTCTTTTTTATTATTGAGTTGTAATAGTTCTTTGACAACCACTTTTTGAGGGCCTAGTATGAGCACCAAGACCATGCTATGTGCTTCGTCTTCACTTCTTTGTTTAATCCTCATAAAAGCCCACATGGTAAGTTTTGTACCTTGTTTATAGATGAGGAGATTGATGATCAGAGTTAAAACAAGGTATCTAAAGAGAGTCGTAAGTGGTAGCGGTCAAGACTGTAACCTTCGTCTATCTGAGTTCGGTTCCTGTTTTGTTGGCTACTCTGTGCTTCTGATCTTTGACATTGTTGAAACAGTGCCTGTGTTCTAGACCTTGGAATGAAAATTTCAGGAAGCATAGAGGGAATTCATACACTAAATAGTTAATCTTCAGAGTCCCTTCCAACATTTTATATACTAGATTTATTCCAGAAAACTTATGTATAAACCAAGATTAAAAAATAAAAATAATCAGACTTTAGTTTCTGCTAAAAGAACTTTGAATATAAAGAAATCATGAGGTGCATCCTTTTGTAATATGAATAAGTTATTTTCTGAGTTTTTGTAAGTTATATTCAGCTTCCCTAGAGCAGGGCACATATCAAATAAATTGTAAGATATGAGGGATTTTCAGAAAATATTGATATAACTTTATATATTAATTTTTTTCCCTAATCTGGATGAAAAGTTGGCTAATCATTAACTGAGTGAACTTTTCAACAGAAGCAAAATAAACATCTGTGACCTGTCAGAACTTGTCTGAACTCTGCCCTATAAAGTATCAAGATACTTTGTACGTATGCTGAAAAGTGTCAGTTATTATTTTAGCACATACAGTTAGGAAGTGGCAAGCTTGGAGAGGGCACAGTGATGTTTATGATTAAAGGCTGAAACGTTGGACTATTAATGAAATGAAACTGGCTTGTGGAGGACTAGTTGTAGCCACTTGATTTTAGGTCACTCATTCAGACTTTTGACTGAGAAAATGGTGTACCATAGATAATTCTGCTCTAAATGGAACAGGAAAAAAATAAAATTTAGCTAAGAGAGAATTCAATGTAATTCAGTTCTATTCAGTCACTATTTACTGAATACCTATTGTGTCAGGAACTGGGGATATAAATAAAGATTATTTTTTTCAAAAGCTGTGGTATCTGCTCTTGAGAAGCTGACATTTACTAGGGTTTCACAGAAAGGGAGTTTCCTGGCCTGGATCTTGAAGGGTAAAATAGAATTTGCTAAGACAGAGGTATTCCAGACACAGGGAGCAGCAACAGCAAAGGCATGGAAGTATGAAATAGCATGCCATGCTCTGAGAATTGCATGTATTTCAGCATGGTGAGAGCTTACTTCCATTCCTTGTTGTGATATTAATATGATTTCTCTAGTAGATTCACTTTTCAACCTCTTAGACTTTCCATACCCTCTTTTCACCCTCATTTTCAGCTGATTACTTTTGTCTTGTATGTTGTTGAAAAAAACAGAAGCCAAACCCCCTTATCTTCCATCCCAAGACTTATAGACCTATCTAGCCATCTGATCCTCTTCTTACCTTTGAGTCTCCTCTTCCTTCATAGGTCACTAGGTCTCATCCCCCTTCACCTTCTCAAGACTTCTGTCTCTTTTCCCCGGGTTCATTACCATCATCAGGCAAACATGCTCTAATATGTTAATCTTAAAACAAAAACAAACTTTCCTTAATACCACCCTCCCCTCCAGAGACCACTCCATTTCACTGTTCCCGTGAAAGTAATGTCTCAAAAGAGACGCACTGTTTCTATTTCCCTCTCCTATTCACTCTTTAATTTACTGTAATCTTTACTGACTTCTGCCTTCCAGCACTTGCTTAATGTTGCTTTTGCCCAAGTCACCTGAACTTTGCATGTTGCCAGTCCAGTGGGTATTTGGCCTTTGGCAGCATTTGACATAGTTTCCTCCCCACCTCCCTCCCTCCCTCCCAGATTCTTTCTCCCCTCTTGGCTTCTATGACATTATGTTCTTCTAGTTTTCCTCTTGCACCACTGGCTACTGCTTCCTCTTCCCTCCCAGACTTCTAAATAATTGAGATCCACAGGGTGTTGTCCTAGGCTTACTTCTTTCTCTAGAATTCCCTCAAGGTGAGCTTGTCTGTTCCCATGGATTTAAATACTTTCATTATGCTAATGATTTATCTGACCTTATCTCCAGCCTAGACTGCTTCTGAGCTCCAGACTCTCATATCCAACTGCCTTCTTGTCTCACAGAGGTCACATACTGACTGTGCCTGAGATGGGACTTTGATCCTCTTTACTCCCACTGCATTCTTCCTTTTGTCAATAAATGGCACTGTCATCCCTTCAGTTATTCAGGCCAAACACCTAAATCATCCTTGCTCTTTCCCCTCCCCCTTAGATCTCTCTCGTGCCCAGCAGCAAGGCTTATGGATTCAATGTTGAAAATATATTTTGAATCCACTTCCTTCTCTCCATCTCCACTGGCAGACTGCCTCCACTTCCTATTTGGACCACTCCAGCAGTCTCGTAACCCTCTCCCCACCTAAGTTCTTGCGTCCCAACCCCACCAATTCATTGTCTGCACAGTCGTAAGAATAATCACAAATCAAACTATTTCACTTCCCTGTTTAATCATTTCAGTGGTTTCCCCAAATCCCTTCTTTGGCCTGGATGGTCCGGTCCCTGCCCAGTTCTCCAAGTTCATTTCATGTCATTTTGCCCCCACTTACTGTACTCTAGCGACTGGTCCTCTTTTACTTTCTTTTAACATGCTAAACTCTTTTCTCTCTCAGGATCTTTGCAAGTTTCCTCTTTGAATGTCTAGTTCCTTTTCTTCCTTTAATTGGGTCTTAGCTTAAATTCACCTGCTCAGAGATATCATTCCTTGACTGCCTTAACCTAAAGTAGGTTCCTCTTTTTGTCTGCTTCCTAATACTTGTAATTATTTTGTCTGTTTACTTCTTTTTTTCCTGGAAAAATATAGATTCAGTGAGGACTGGGACTGGGTCTGACTTGTTCACCATTGTACTCCCAGTACCTCGAACAATGCTTGGCCTGTAGCAGGCAGTCATTAAATATTTATGAAATGATAGAAAGAAGGAAAGGGAAGGGACGGGAAAGGAGAAATGGGTGGGATGGGTGGGGAGAAAGAAAGAAGGAAGGAGAGGAGGTAGAGAAAGAAGGAAAGAAATGCTTTGCTTACTGAGCAGCTGCTACGCTCTTGACTCCTTCAGGTATATCCTTCCCATGTTTGTTGTTCCAGTCCTGGCCTCAGCCACCGCCAGGATGCTTGTGGTATGTCAGAGGAATTACTTAAAATCCTAAGGTGCCCTCATCTTCTTCAGACCTTTCAGTTTCTCTCAGCATCTAATGCTTGAGGCTCTGCAGCCTGTAATAGTCATGGCTGTCATTTTTTACCATGGACCAGGGTCTCTGCTAGGTACCTTCCACACGGGACTCCACTTAATTCTGCAAAGTCACCGGCACCCTCCACCTTCCTCCCTGCCTCCCCACCAGAGGTTGCACAGAGATGAATTAACTTACTCAGAATCGCATAGCTAGTGAGTGGAGGAAGCCTTGAGATTCTAACCCAGGCTTTTGTAGCTATAGGGACTATGTTCTTTCTGCCACATCAGGCCATTTATCTATAGTTGTTCCCCAAGTATCAAGCAACCAATAGACGGATGTTAGTAAATTCTTGTATCATAGCTAAAAAATAAATCTCGAGTCCAACCTCTGCTTACTCCCCACTTCATTATACCCTGTTTAATCACCATCGTCTCTTGCCTGGACTACTGCAGTAGCCTCTTAATTGGTCTCCCTGCCTCCTCACTTGCCCTCTTATAGTCCATTTTCCAGCTAGCAGCCAGATTTGTTTTTTAAAGCATGTAAATGGATTGTGCTGCTCTCCAGCTTATACCCTGCAGTTCTCAAGGTACTTAAAATAAAACCCAAACTCTTAACTGTGACCTGTAAAGCCCCTTGTTATCTTGCCCTGCATGTTTCTGTGACCTTAGGTCCTTCTCCTCTGCTCTGCTTCAGCCATACTGGCCTTCTTATAGTTCCTTTAACTGCTAAGCTAGTTTCTACATCAAGTTCTTTATACTGGAAGTATAGAGCTGACTTCTCCACCTAAATCTTTACATGGCTGGCTCATTTACATAATTTAATACCTAATTTAAATATCACCTCCTCAGAGAGGCCTATCTGACTAGGCTATCTAAAATAGACCACCTGGGGTGTAAAGAATCCGCCTTACAATGCAGGGGACGTGGTTCTATCCCTGATCAGGGAACTAAGATCCCACATGCCCGCGGGGCAACTAAGCCTGCACCACAACTACTGAGCTCGCATGCCTCAACTAGAGAGCCCGTGTGCTACAAACTGCAGAGCCCACGTGCTCTGGAACCCACATGCCATAACTACAGAGCCTGTGTGCCACAAGTAGAGAGATAACCCGCATGCCGCAACAAAAGAGCCCACACGCCTCAAAGAAGACCCCACGTGCTGCAACTAAGACCTGACGCAGACAAAAGTAAATTAAATAAATAAATAAATAATAAAATAAATCTTTAAAAAATAAATAAAGTAGACCAACACACATAAATTTACTTTCTTTATATCTCCTTAATCTGCCTTATTTTCTTCATAGTAACCATATTCTTTATTTTTTGCATGTTCATTGTCTCCCCCAGTGGCTTAGAAGCTTCATGAGGGTAGGTTCGTTGGTTTAATATATTTTCAAGGACAAGGCCTACCACCTAGTGAGCACTCAGTATTTGTTGAAAAATGGGAAGAAAAGCTTAATTGTTTTATTGGCTTAATAAGAGTTTCCTTTGGGTAAAAGGCACAGCATCTCTGTTAGGGTTTTTGAAAATTACTACTGTATAAACGTTGAAAAACCTAGTACCTATATGACTCCATGGATTGAAATCGATTCTTTTCCCCAGTTCTTTTAGAACTCATCAAATTGAGGCTGCTCCAACCAGCTCTGCAGTTGATGGATTTAAGGCAAGTCTTGTCTTTAAGGAGATTGAGAAGAAGCTTGAAGAGGTAAGATTTATGTAAAATATTGGGATATTTCTTTCGGAAAAACCCGAACGAACTTTTTGGTCAACCCAATACTACCAGGAGGACCCTGGGGCTAGAGGAAGCAGATATAGATTTCAGGTGTTGCCATGAGTGGTACCAGTTGAAAATTTATATCGTACTGTTAAGTATTGAGTGTATTTTATATTTCATAGTGTCTACCATGGCTTCCTTGTAATTTTGGTAAGAGTGCATTTCAGAGATGAATAAATCTCCAGATTTGAGTGATGTAAAGGGATTCTAATTTATTTTGGTGTAATTTCCTTCTGAATTTCAAAGATCTTACTTAGAACCATTCGTAAGAATAATATTTAAAGGAGCCTTAAAGGCACCTAATATCAAAACTCCTTTTAAAAAGAAATCTTTTGTGCTTGAGTTTTTCAGTTTTAAAATTTGTTTTTCTTGTTGTAAAAATGAGCTCATTAAAAGGATTATACAGAAGCATATAAAGAAGAAAAATTTTAAATCTCCTGAAATGCCATTACTAAGAGTTCACTAAACTGTTAACAGTGGTTGACATTCTTTCAGACATCTCTCTGTGTGTATTAACATACAGTTTTACATAACTAGGATCATACAATGCATGTTGAGTTTTTAAATTTATATTATATATGCAACTATGTTTATGTACAGTACTTAGTTCTTTAAAACAATTTTTTTTTAATACAGCAGGTTCTTATTAGTTATCCATTTTATACATATGAGTGTATATATGTCAATTGCAATCTCCCAATTCATCCCACCGCCACCAACCCCCGTCCCCGCTTTCCCCCCTTGGTGTCCATATGTTTGTTCTCTACATCTCTGTCTCTATTTCTGCCTTGCAAACCGGTTCATCTGTACCATTTTTCTAGAATCCACATATACACATTAATATTCGTTATTTGTTTTTCTCTTTCTGAGTTACTTCACTCTGTATGACAGTCTCTGGGTTCATCCATATCTCTACAAATGACCCAATTTCGTTCCTTTTTATGGCTGAGTAATATTCCATTGTATATATGTACCACAACTTCTTTATCCATTTGTCTGTTGATGGGCATTTAGGTTGCTTCCATGACCTGGCTATTGTAAATAGTGCTGCAATGAACATTGGGGTGCATGTGTCTTTTTGAATTATGGTTTTCTCTGGATATATGCCCAGTAGTGGGATTGCTGGGTCATATGGTAATTCTATTTCTAGTTTTTTTTTTTCTTTCTATTTTTTAACATCTTTATTGGAGTAAAATTGCTTTACAATGGTGTGTTAGTTTCTGCTTTATTACAAAGTGAATCAGCTATACATATACATATATCCCCATATCTCCTCCCTCTTACGTCTCCCTCCGACCCTCCCTATCCCATCCCTCTAGGTGATCACAAAGCACCGAGCTGATCTCCCTGTGCTATGTGGCTGCTTCCCACTAGCTATCTATTTTACATTTGGTAGTGTATATATGTCCATGCTACTTTCTCACTTCGTCCCAGCTTACCCTTCCCCCATCCTGTGTCCTCAAGTCCATTCTCTACATCTGGGTCTTTATTCCTGTCGTGCCCCTAGGTTCTTCAGAATCTTTTTTTTTTTTTTAGATGACATGTATATGTGTTAGAATACAGTATTTGTTTTTCTCTTTCTGACTTACTTCACTCTGTATGACAGACTCTGGGTCCATCTACCTCATGACAAATAACTCAATTTCGTTTCTTTTTATGGCTGAGTAACATTCCATTGTATGTATGTGCCACATCTTCTTTATCCATTCATCTGTCGATGGACACTTAGGTTGCTTCCATGTCCTGGCTATTGTAAATAGTGCTGCAGTGAACATTGTGGTGCATGACCCTTTTTGAGTTACAGTTTTCTCAGGGTATATGCCCAGTAGTGGGATTGCTGGGTCGTACGGTAGTTCTATTTTTAGTTTTTTAAGGAACCTCCATACTGTTCTCCATAGTGGCTAGGTCAATTTACATTCCCACCAACAGTGCAAGAGGGTTCCCTTTACTCCATACCCTCTCTAGCATTTGTTGTTATAGGTTTTCTGATGGTGCCCATTCTGATGGGTGTGAGGTGATATCTCATTGTAGTTTTGATTTCTCTAATTATTAGTGATGTTGTGCATCTTTTCATGTGCTTCTTGGCCATCTGTATGCCTTCTTTGGAGAAATGTCTATTTAGGTCTTCTGCGCATTTTTGGATTGGGTTGTTTGTTTTTTTAACATTGAGCTGCATGAGCTGTTTATATATTTTTGAGATTAATCCTTTGTCCATTGATTCGTTTGCAGATATTTTCTGCCATTCTGAGGGTTTGTCTTTTGGTCTTGTTTATAGTTTCCTTTGCTGTGCAAAAGCTTTTAAATTTCATTAGATCCCATTTGTTTTTTAATTTTTTTATTTCCATTACTCTAGGAGGTGGGTCAAAAAAGATCTTGCTGCGATTTATGTCAAAAAGTGTTCTTCCTATGTTTTCCTCTAAGAGTTTTACCGTGTCCGGTCTTACATTTAGGTCTTTAATCCATTTTGAGTTTGTTTTTGTGTATGGTGTTAGGGAGTGTTCTAATTTCATTCTTTTACATGTAGCTGTCCAGTTTTCCCAGCACCACTTATTGAAGAGGCTGTCTTTTCTCAATTGTATATCCTTGCCTCCTTTGTCATAGATTAGTTCACTATAAGTGTGTGGGTTTATCTCTGGGCTTTCTATCCTGTTCCATTCATCTATATTTCTGTTTTTGTGCCACTGCCATATTGTCTTTTTTTTTTATAGATTTTTTTTTTTTTGTTAAAAATTTTTTTTTTTTTTTTTTTTTTTGCGGTACGCGAGCCTCTCACTGTTGTGGCCTCTCCCGTTGCGGAGCACAGGCTCCGGACGCGCAGGCTCAGCGGCCATGGCTCACGGGCCCAGCCGCTCTGCGGCACGTGGGATCTTCCCGGACCGGGGCACGAACCCATGTCCCCTGCATCGGCAGGCGGACTCTCAACCACCGCGCCACCAGGGAAGCCCCATATTGTCTTGATTACAGTAGCTTTGTAGTATAGTCTGAAATCAGGGAGTCTCATTCCTCCAGCTCTGTTTTTTTCCCTCAAGATTGCTTTGGCTATTCGGGGTCTTTTGTGTCTCCATACAAATTTTAAGATTTTTTGTTCTAGTTCTGTAAAAAATGCCCTCGGTAATTAGATAGGGATTGCACTGAATCTGTAGATTGCTTTGGGGAGTATAGTCATTTTGAGAATATTGATTCTTCCAATCCAAGAACATGATATATCTCTCCATCTGTTCGTGTCATCTTTGATTTCTTTCATCAGGGGCTTATAGTTTTCTGAGTACAGGTCTTTTACCTCCTTAGGGAGGTTTATTCCTAGGTATTTTATTCTTTTTGTTGCAATGGTGAATGGAATTGTTTCCTTAATTTCTCCTTCTGATTTCTTGTTGTTAGTGTATAGGAATGCAAGAGATTTCTGTGCATTAATTTTGTATCCTGCAACTTAACCAAATTCATTGATTAGCTCTAGTAGTTTTCTGGTAGCATCTTTAGGATTCTCTATGTATAGTATCATGTCATCTGCAAACAGTGACAGTTTTACTTCTTCTTTTCCAATTTGGATTCCTTTCATTTCTTTTTCTTCCCGGATTGCTGTGGCTAAAACTTCCAAAACTATGTTGAATATTAGTGGTGAGAGTGGACATCCTTGTCTTGTTCCTGATATTAGAGGAAATGCTTTTAGTTTTTCACCATTGAGAATGATGTTTGCTGTGTGTTTGTCATATATGACCTTTATTATGTTGAGGTTGGTTCCCTCTATGCCCACTTTCTGGAGAGTTTTTATCATAAATGGGTGTTGAATTTTGTCAAAAGCTTTTTCTGCATCTATTGAGATGATCATATGGTTTTTATTCTTCAGTTTGTAAATATGGTGTATCACATTGATTGATTTGCATATATTGAAGAATCCTTGCATCCCTGAGATAAACCCCACTTGATCATGGTGTGTGATCCTTTTAATGTGTTGTTAGATTCTGTTTGCTAGGAATTTGTTGAGGATTTTTGCATCTATATTCATCAGTGGTATTGGTCTGTAATGTTTTTTATAGTATCTCTGTCTTGTTTTGGTATCAAGAGTGATGGTGGCCTCATAGAATGAGTTTGGGAGTGTTTCTTCCTCTGCAATTTTTTGGAAGAGTTTGAAAAGGATGGGTGTTAGCTCCTCTCTAAATGTTTGATAGAATCCACTTGTGAAGCCATCTGGTCCTGGACTTTTGTTTCTTGAAAGGTTTTTTTTTTTTTTTTTCCTTGCGTTATGCGGGCCTCTCACTGTTGTGGCCTCTCCCATTTGCGGAGCACAGGCTCCGGACGCGCAGGCTCAGTGGCCATGGCTCACGGGCCCAGCCGCTCCGCGGCATGTGGGATCTTCCCGAAATGGGGCACGAACCCGCGTCTCCTGCATCGGCAGGCGGACTCTCAAGCACTGCGCCACCAGGGAAGCCCTCTTGAAAGGTTTTTAACCACAGTTTCAAAAATCACAGTTTCAATTTCATTACTTGTGATTGGTCTGCTCATATTTTCTATTTCTTCCTGGTTCAATCTTGGAAGGCTATACCTTTCTAAGAATTTGTTCATTTCTTCCAGGTGGTCCATTTTACTGGCATAGAGTTGCTTGTAGTAGTCTCTTAGGATGCTTTGTATTTCTGCGGTGTCCATTGTAACTTCTTTTTCATTTCTAACTTGATTGATTTGTGTCCTCTCCCTCTTTTTCTTGATGAGTCTGGCTAAAGGTTTATCAATTTTGTTTATCTTCTCAATAAAAGCTTTTAGTTTTATTGATCTTTGCTGTTGTTTTCTTTGTTTCTATTTCATTTATTTCTGCTCTGATCTTTATGATTTCTTTCCTTCTACTAACTTTGGGTTTTGTTTGTTCTTCTTTCTCTAGTTCCTTTAGGTGTAAGGTTAGATTGTTTCTTTGAAATTTTTCTTGTTTCTTGAGGTAGGAT